GAAAGTGGAAGGACAGACAAAGACCCTGTGTTGGCTGGTACGTTCTGCTATTTCATTGGTCCCTTGATAACATAAACCAAATGAAGTAATTCAGTAAGAATAAATTTCGATGAAGAAAATGTCGGCGACGTACAACCCCCCAAAAGATTTCTGCTCAAAATTCTTTGAAGAAATTGGATTTGTTTTAGTTTATTTCTTGTTTGTTTGTTTGTTTGTTTGCATTTCAATATTTTTTTCTCCATGGCTTTTCCTGCCCTTCGGAAACTTTAAAAGGAGTGTTCTATTTCCGAGCGGGAAACTCCCTTGAAATAAAGCGCCTCTTTACGTTCTAATATGCAGGAGCTTGTTATTGACATAAAGGATAAAGGTTAATCCGAGTAACTGCATTGTGACTAATTATATATAGGCAGCACATGCAAGGAAAAGTAGCGATATTACATTTCGGTATTATTCTATACCATCTTCAGACTCAATTATACAAGATACATCGCCTGGTAGATTTACTAACTAATTGAACCAAATCGTTCTCTACCGAGTCATGTAGACTATTAACTAACTGACACGTTGAGTGCTAGAAAATCGCAATACCATAATCGCAATACCATAATCGCACTCAAGATGGTATAACATGACTATAAATTAAATCAATTAACTTAACATCAAGTTTAGTCACCTACTCTGAAACTTATGATATAGACAATAAAACACCAGATATACTTTTGTTCCTAGAGCACAGCGTCTTGTTTATTTTCCTTTAAANTTAGTCACCTACTCTGAAACTTATGATATAGACAATAAAACACCAGATATACTTTTGTTCCTAGAGCACAGCGTCTTGTTTATTTTCCTTTAAACTACAATGAAATCGCGATTTCTCGAAGCCCCATTTTCTGAAGCCTTCCGATAACTGGAACCAAAAGTCGTTTCCCACTCCTCATTCGAACACTCTCCCTTACCTCCGAGTTCTCCAATAGTCCGATTTTACGCTCTCACTTTTGTTTCCATTGGAGGTTCGAAAAATCGGAATTCCATTGTATGTTCATCTGCTGTAGGTTAGACTTTCTCACGACGATAATTCTTTTGTTCTCTCATCGTGCTCGTTCATCTATAAAATGTGGGGTTAATGTAATGTTTGAAAACAACAAAGCCGGATACAGAAACTGGAATAACATTTTATAGTATCTGTATTACATGTCACGAAGAGCAACTGCAACTTGTCTTTGTTGCTGAGGTCGTTTGCGGAATAGAGCAAGTAAAGCTGATCTGTATTCTGGCAAACGGATAGTGTATAATATAGGATTTACAAGGGAGTTTGCATAAAATAAAGCAAACAATGAAAAATTTAAATGAAAGTCCACTGAAAAGGACAGAGTCTGCCGTATTTTAAATTTAGTGATAAGAAGGACATAATTCATTACAACGCGTGGCAGGTACAACAGAAGAGATACAACAGTCACAATCAACAATGTCATGGTCAGTTTTCTTTCTCTACTGGTTGCACCATGGTGTTGAGGCTGCGCTCCACAACGGACTTTAATAACAATGGACGTGTAAGAAACACAAAGGATCAAAAGGCAAATTAAAAAAAATGTCAAATATAAGTAAGCAATGTAATATGATTCATCAAACTCTGCGAGAAGCACATAAGCTGTTGTTACCAACCCGGATGAAACCCAAACAACAGCAATTATTAATCGATATACCCATTTTTTTAGCACACGATGC